GGAAAATTTTTTGATTCACAAAAAGACGAAATGCCATGGTAGAACGATCGAAAAATAATATTTCAATAAAATTTTAGATGTCTTAATATCAATCTACTAACAATTATTTTTTAATCGCTTTGTCAAGTGACAAACTTCAATATATGAGATTCTTTAAAAGTTATGCAAAAAAAAATAATTTTTGCCATTGTTGCATATAATTCGCTTGCTTGACAGGTTCTTTTTTGTTTGTTTTAACAAGACGTTGACGATTGTCTTTATACAAATAACTAAAATCAAATTTTAATGTAAATGAAAACTTATTGTTTGGGCAAACATCAATTTCACTATAATTATCGATTGTTGAAGATGATGAAGAAAAGATTTTGTAGCCATTTCCACTTATATAGGTACCATTGAATTTTCCATTAATATAGATTAATTGCTGTTCAACAAGTGATTGATGTCGTTCTTGACCAACATAGATTACACTCTCTTGATTGTATTTTATTCCAAACTTTACTATCTCATATATTTGCTCGAGGCTACTATTGAATAGTGAAACAAGAAAACTAATTTCTTCGATGCCATCGTAAACACCTCGAATAGTTGAAAAGAGATAGGAGTGTTCTATGAGATCGTTATGTAATTGTTCTCTACGATAATTAATAGCGCTGTCATTCAGATAAAAATCATAAGGATCATATGGATTTCTTCCAGCACTCAGTATAGCATAACCACCGTGATTAAGAATGTATAAGAATGCTTTTGATGTATATGTCGGATCTACATAGAGAAGAGAAAATGTTATAGTTATGTTTAAATTTCTCTAAAATAACAATTCATTATTCTTTTGTATACCTTCAGTAAGTATCTGTTTTGTGTTTATGGCAAGAAAGAAAAAGAAAATCGTAAGCATCACTTCAAAACAAGAAAAAAATCTTTTCTGTTCTTTATATTTTGAGTAGAACGATGATAAAAGTGAATAACGTTGTTTCGAAAGACTAACACAAAACATGCTTCACTATTTATCTGGCGTCATTTCATTGGATTAAAATAAACCCATGAGAAATGATAATATTCCAAACAGATTGAAAAAATAAAACAGAAGTAACCATTATTCATCTCAAAAAGATAATTTAGTTATAAAATATCAAATATTCCATTGCACCATCTAGATATACTCTTGTTATGTATATTGTATTAAAAATATAAAATATCATTTTTGATTATTTTATAGATACTGAAAATAATAAAAAAAAGGAAATTTATTCAACAAGAATAGAAACTATATCAGATACGACAAGATCAACACCACCACCGTAAAAAAGCTGGATGAAAGTTGTTTTGGTGTCCATGTAAAACAATCAATACATTCAGTGTGGGTGGTTGAATTTTAGTTGTCTCGTAGTTCATACTCACTCACATCAACACTCACACGCACTCTCAGTTTTGAATTGTTTTATTAGAATATTGTAGATGCTATGATCGAAATAGGATATTTTATTTAAGAAATCAATTAATGAAAATAACAAGATATAAATGCAAAGATAGAAGCTAGCTATTGGAAAGAAACAAATAAATGTAAAAAGTGGCAACAACTATCTACGAAGATATTGAAATAAAAATGAATAATGTTTTTTCAGTTATTTAAGCCGTTGACATTAGTTTTCGTCGAACAACAATTTTGCGATTACTTTCCTAAAAAAAAGAATAGATGTATTTATAAGAAAAATAAACTCTTAATAGATAATCTTGATGAAAGAGTGTCGAACTGATTTTTCCATAATCACTCGATATTCAATCGATAAGTTACCCGTCAGGATTATTGCCATTTTCAATGTATACCTAGCTGATATATTTTGAGCAAAGAAGTGGAGTGTGGATCTAAGTGAGTCAGACTGAGAACATCGATAGTAGTGTTTCTCAACAAGCTTTTCATCGACACGGCGTCCTCATATAAATACTCAACAACCAAACGGCAATCCACTAATTTCCTGAACTATTTTTCTACAATCAAGAGACTAACCTGTAGACTTTTTGATCCATGTATTAAAACCTGCAGAGTTATCCTTTATAGTTGTTGGTGATAAAGTGCTACATTTTCGAAGGGTACAGGTATTTGCGTTATTATTATAAACGGCTGCATTGCATTCGGCGATTTGATCACATGACGTGAGACAAGCATCCAGATTAGCAGGTAAAGTAAAGCTGATCGAGGGACATTTTGAATCAGCGATAGTCTTATCAGATGCAAACAAAGTCCAAGAAGATGAAGCTAAAATGAAAAATTGAAAATTATAGAGTGATAAAGAAGATAAAAATGGTTTCCTGTAGAGTTTGTGCGAAAGGTATTTTTATATATCTCGTTTCATATACTGCATCTACTTCTACCGTTTACCACGTCTTTGTGATTTTCATAAGTCAAGTGGACTGTGATGATAAGGATGTAGATGAATGATACTGATGACATGCATGTTAGTGTTCCTGATGGAATTTCTGACCGACATTCCATCTTCACCCATATCACTATCTATCACTCGTCGCATGCAACATATAGCAAAAGAACTAATATGCGAACATATACTCTCGCATACATAAGCAACAATAGTTACTGAACCCGGCAACTAATTAGTTTTATCATTTACTTTTTATACAATCAAGAGACTAACCTGTAGGATTTTTCATCCATGACTGATATCCTTTATAGCCGTTTGAAATTGACGGTGACAAAGTATTACATCTATTAAGATTACACATCTTTTGTGCAGCATTATAATTGGCTACATTGCATCCGGAGAGTTGATCACATGATGTAAGACAAGCATTCAAATCAGAAATAACGCGATTTCTCTGAAAGTGACATTGATGATCATCATCACCAATAGTTGCATCAGATGCCTTAAGAGTCCAAGAAGATGAAGCTAAAATGAAAAATGTAAATTGTAGAGTGACGAAGATGATAAAAATAGTTTCTTGTATGATTTGTGTGAGAAAGAATTTTATATATCTCGTTTATCATAATGTATCTACTTCTACCGTATTTATGTTGCATTTTTTCAAAATGTATTCTTTATATTACCTATGTATTTTAGTATGAGAATTATATCGAGAGAATATCTTCATTGGTCAGTAGACAGCATACAGCGTGCGCATGACTGCTGGAGATATCTTTCAAACGACTCTTTCAGAATAAAAGCTTCGCAAAAACCGTCACTAGTTTCATACAACGCTAATATTTTAAAAGATAGTATGTTGTCTAATAAATTATGATAAAAGAAATATTTCGATGGATTCTAGAATGAAAAGGGCTGTTAGTATTGCGAGTAAGAATGAGAAAACTAATAAAATGTAGTTGGAATGTGCAGTCTAAGAGTAAGTACTGCAAGACTGTCACTGACCTATTGTTAGTATAATACCGAGCATATCTTAAAATACAGTAATACCAGTGGAGACAAAGATTCGATTTTTAAAGTTTATATATATGTACAAGAGAACACTACAGTGATATGAACAGAGTTACAGCTGAATAGTGTATTGTAGCTTTGAGGATCCTCTTTTGAAATAGCGGATGTAAGTTTAAAAAACTGGCTGTAAATGTAATAAAATTTATTATAAATAATACTAATTTCTCTATACGACGAATAAAATTCTATACGCAAATAAAAATACCTTACCTGATGTATCACGCTCATTCATTTCATCCAGACCTCTTGAATTAAGTCGTAAAAACAAATCGGCCAGCATCTGCTTGCCAGGATAATGACTGAAGCGTCGGTGAAATGTCTGGCTGTAAGAGACATCTCTTGCAATTGATGTTTGTATAACAAAAACTATAATGAGAGCCATAGCCGATGTAAGGATGGTAGACGACACCATTTGTTTGACGTTGTTCGATGTTATTTGCTGTTGAGTGAGAGTAAAAATGTATATGTTGATTGGACGATGCGCTGTATCCTTTATAGCATCGTCCACCGAAGCTGTACAGTCAACCGGAACGCGACTCCGTTTTGGAGGAAGAAAAACTGATTAGTTTGATAACTGTTTATTTTCTGTTTACAAGCAAGTATTACCTTCGTAGTTAATCAACCAGAACACGAGTACAGTTAGAAAAACGGTTACAGTAAGTCATAATTTTTATCTTTTTTTTTCGTCTTATGAAACATTAAAGTATAAAATGACTAAGTAAACTTTTCAATAGTTACAAATTTCTAGAAGAAATAAATCTATAAGATTGATTAGTATTTATTTAATTAAATAATTTAATTAAAAATTTCCATAAAAAATCAGTTCAAAAATGCTGGTTTATATTTTATACATAGTACAAAACAAATGTTGATATAATTAATCTTTAAATAAAAGATTCCATCAGTTTCATATTCATAGGTATTGATCATTTCCTAAAAGAAATAAAAAAAATATTTATATAACTACTAGATGATTCTAATTTATTTTAAAATATCTATTATATGTTAGCTAGAAACTCAACGTAAATTAGTATTTTCATTGTCTGTCTATAATCCAAAACATAAGAGCTACTAAATTTTCGTGAGAATTAAAAAAAATGATTATTTTGAAAATAGATAACATACAAATTAATTCTGCACTAGGACTAGATCGTTTTGGCATTTCAATATCATCACCACCAATTTTTTTGATCCCATTCATTAAATATTCCATATATTCAAACATATTAACTTGCTAAAAATTTCAAAAACGAAAAGATCATTAAAAAAATTCAAGAAAAATATATTTTACTTGATTTTGTATTGTAAGAACTTGATTTTCAAGTATTTTTATTTTATTCAATACAATTTCTTGTGGAGAATGTCTAAATAAATTCTTGAGAAATTTATTTTTAATTTTAAAATAAAAATCTATTCATTACACTCGTTGTTCATATAAATCATTTTGACGATCAAGTTGTTTTCTTTCAGTTTTTAATGAAAAAAAATAAACTTCATTTCCTAATGCATCTTCAATTCCTTCAATTTGTTTTGTTAAGACTTCATCGGCACTTATTTCTACAAAAAAAAAGCTAGTTGAAAAAATTTGTCTTGGTTAAACTTACTAAATTTTGCTCGATTTGTATGTTGTAAATATTTTGTTTGAAACCATTTGATTTTACAAATATGTGAGAAAAAATAAATTGTTATACGATAAATATGTGAAAATGCGACTAATGGTGGTGGAAGAGTTGGACGAGTTAAATAATAAGATACTAATGAATAATGTTGAAATTTCCATATACAATCTGTATCCATATGTAAACGATCAAATGTATTACTTGAAGAAAAGAAAAGAAAAAGAAATGATTTCTTTTTTTTATTAATAATTAAATATATATCTAACCTGAACATAGCTATGAGAAGATTAATTAGAAGAACACTTGCAACAGTCATATATGCAATTAAAAGAATAAAAACAATATAACCATTTATTTCATAATTTTCTAAACAGAATAAAATTTTTATTAAAATTTCTTTAAAAAGAAAAAAAAACAAACTTTCAATATCACCAAGTATTTCAATTTCACCAAATATTTGCCAATAAGCTAAATTAATAATAGCACGTGGAGTATGGAAAGAGAATTCTTGAACACCATACATTAAACTATACGATGGTACACCAAATGCTAATATAAATACAGTCAGCATTATCATATAAAATTTCATATCATTAACCTTTAATGAAAATTATTATTTTGAAGAAAAATTATCTTTTTTTTTATATTTTACCATTTCTCCAATCATAACTAGTTTCGGTCCAAGCCGTTTTATAGCAGAAAACATATCAAGTGTTCTTATATACCAAATAGATAAATCAAGAGCTAATAGAACTCTTGCACCACAAAAACATTGATTTATTGGTAATAATCGAAGTACAAATGCAATAAAAAATAAACTTATAGCTAAAACATCTAATTTATTCCAAATTATTGAAAAATATGCTACCAATTTTCCATATACTGATTGAACTTCCATTGCAATTATCTAATTAATTATTGAATTATTAATAAAATAAACAAAATTTTTGTATTTACTTGACGAATTTCTTCACAAAATAAAGTAAACATCCAAATAATAAGTATTAATTCAGTTGTTCTTGGTCGATGATGCCATTGAAAACCATATTCTACTGATGGAATTGCAGTAACTTTTATTTTTTGTTTTGTTCGATTTGAAAACAATCGTTTTTGAGTATTATTTATTGATATACGATTATCACGAAGTTCTTCAATACTTGGAAGACATTTATCAGATATAAAATCATATATTGGAAAAAAATCAAATAATATAACATAGGAAAATAACATTAAAAATATCATATGAGAATACTAAAAAATAAAAGAAAGGATTCATATAGAAAATAGATCATATAATAAACTTACTACGTTGTAAAGATATTTAACATATGGAGCATGAAGAAACATTAAAACATTTTTAATATATTGATTCATATCACATTTTATACTAAAATATTATAGAAATTAATTAATAGAATAATTATTATTTTTACCTTTCCCAAGAATTATTGTTTGCAATAATAACAGATTCATCTTCATCTGAAAAATCATCCATTAATTTCGTACATACAGGATCTGATCCACTAGAAATAAGAAATGCATTTCATAAGTTTATTATTTATATTTTACCTATCACTAGTAGATCTTGATCGTGACGAACGATATTGAAAAAAATTGGATGTATCTTCGAAGTTCTATTAAGTAAGAAAGTTTGATGAATTGTTATATAATAAGTTGGAATAAACATACATCACTTTTTTTACATTTTTCACTTCCTTCAACTAATTCTTTATGATAATGAAGAAATCCACTATAAAATGGTATTAAACTTGCTAATACTATTTTCTTATTTCCTACTCGATGATTAATATATCCATACCTACATTTAGAAATAAATTAGAAATAAAAAAAACGAATTTTATTTTACAAATTAAATTACCAAATATCACTTAGAACATCTTGTATTGCTTTTTGTGCAATAAATAATTTTGCTTCGGCCATAACAGCTAAATGTAACCATGTGACATTACCAAATTGTGGAATTTCTCTTATTATTGCTTGAGTACATTCATATGGATTTGTTGAATAAAATTTTTCAAGAATTTCTACAGCTAAATTTTGAAATTCATCAGCCCATTCAATAAAACTTTCATCTTTTTCTTTTCGTGCTTTACTCTTATAAAGTAATGTTGCAATTAAAGCCGCACCTTTAATTAGAACAAAAACATTTGTTCAAGAAATATTTAATAAATTTTAAATACTTACAAACTTTATTTTTTCCTCGTGCCGAAAAACGTAATGCTAACTCTTGTTTATTTGTTAATATAGACCAAAAAATAGTTCTTTTTTTCAACATCAGTTTCATTAATAATCGATAATGAATAATCTAAATTGAAAATAAATATTTTTAATATTATTATTAAATAAACAAACTTTTTGTTTGATTATTCAATGGTAAATCATCCGTTGGAAAAATCGCATCAATTTGAAAAAAATCTCCAAGTAATGGTTGAATTATTTCTTTATATATTGCTCGTAATGGATTATTAAAATCCTCAGTTATATCATAATTCTAAATAAAACAGAGGAAATGTTTATTTTATTTTTTGTTCAATATAATTATACTTCATTTTTATAAAGAGTCACAAGTTTCTCATAATCTTCAAATAAATCATTTAACGGAAAATCATGATCAAGAAATAATTGAATAAAACTTGTTTGATTTTGAACAAGAGCTTTTTCAAATAAATCATTTAATTCAATTTTCTAAAATAAAATTTTTTATTTTTATATCGAAAACGTTTTTTTTCTTACTTTCCAATCTTTTTCATCTTTCATAATAAAATTTTTAATAATATCAATTCGTTTCCATTCAAATGCTAAATTTAATTGTTCACGTTTTTGTTCTTTATTTGTTTCGAATGAATCATCATTGGATGTTACTAGAAAAAATATTTATTTTCTATAATAAGATATATTTTCTTTCGTTTACCATTAAGAAGTGCTTGTAATATTGCTAAATCAAAATCAGCTTCAATATGACTATGAGCTTTTAAATCAATAAAATTTAAAAACATATTTCGTCTTTCAATACAAGCATAAATCAATTCAAAATAATCAA